TTAAGCATCCTTGTATCTGCTGCAATGTTTTGAAAATGGTTTGCTTGCAACTGTGGTACAAACAGCCATTGCCAAATTAAAAAAGATGTCCTACCTATAACCCTGGTTAGAATGAAGGGGAAAAGTATTTTATTCGTGCTCTAATAATTGAAATAACGTTTATGCTGTTTGTACCCATTTTGTTATTTGATCATAGTCTACTTAAAAAAGTCTAAAATCTAATATGAATTTTAGCCCTTAAAATGTCTATGATTTTGACAGGTCAAGTTACGTTACTTGCTATAAAGGTTGGCATTTTTCAGGTCTCGCTTTATGTGTGTTTTAGGGAAAATTTATATTCATGCTGTAACAGCTACAAAACGAAACAGACATGGAACCAGTTTCAATTTTCCTTTATATCCTTTGTAATCTTTTGGCCAGTAAAATATGTCTTAAATGGCATTCATAAAGGTCTTAAGAAGTCTTAAACTGAACCTGTTGAAACCTGCAGAAACCAAGTCAAATGAAGATGAAAACCAATATAACTTAACAGTTTTATTGACCAGATGTCATTTAACTCGACCACAGTTGTAACGTATTTGTGCCCCCCATCTCTACTAATGTGTGCATGTATTTCTGCAAACTAACTGCCTTTCTCAACTCTTGTGTTTCTTGCTTGCTTCACCCCCATTTTCCTTTTCTCTTTCTTTGTCACTGTCTTTTTGTACACCACCCCAACCTCTCTGCTATTCTCTCAGTCTGACTGGGGGAATGGGTGAGGAAAATGGAGAGGAGCCATTTTTCCAGATCACAACCCCTGCCAAACCCCCCGCAGCTCCCAGCGAGGAAGAAGAGGAGGATGAGATGGTGAGGAAGGATCTGTAAAGATCCGTCTGATTCAGCACTCTTCATCAGCCCCCAACCCCCCAGCCCTTCCCTTGTGTTGTTTTGTCTTAATGTTAGTCAGTGATGTTTTATGGCTACATTATACTGCTTTAAAGAGATTACACTCTGTTCTGTATTAGTTAAATGCATCAAAGCTTTGATGGACAGAATTCATGTTTTAATTTCTCTTGTTTGTATCCAGAGCTTGAAGGGGCACCCCCCCCCTGCCCCTCTGTTTGGGGACGAAGAGGACGATGATGATCTGGACTGGCTGAACTGAGATGGAACCAGAATGATAAAAGTCTGCGTCCGGATTTTCAACACTAAAAGCAGGCGCAAGGTGCTTTACCAGCTGTCTCTGTCTGGTGGAGCGGTCAAGATGACGACAGAAAGCCTCTGCTGGTGAACTTG